CAGGACCACTGGCCGCGATGCCATCCCCCTTCCACGTAAAAAACAATGGGATGCAGAAACATTTTTGCCACCGTGGTAGCTGTGGCAGGAGATCTGTCCTCTCTCTTGCATCTTCCTTATCATGATTAAAACAACATTTACCAAACCCTTGGTACCCGGCAAGCTCTTTCACGTGTTCCTCACAACAACGCTTCAAGGTGGGTGTCATCGTCGTATCTTACTAATCAGGCAGAGAGGGAGCAGAGACAGACGGCGAGTAACTTGCCAGAGGTTACCTGGGCAGAGGCCTCGGGCCCCGTGTGCTTGCCAACACGTCGTTAAATGTCAGAGCTGCTGGTGGTGACGGTACTCAGTTAAGTCACCAAGTGCAACCGGAGCGCCCCAGGACAGCTCTGGGATAGACTTGGAAATGGCTTGCCGGTGGAATCGAGTTTGTGAGCTGAGATGCTCTCATGGCAACTGCCTTGAACCTGGTCCGCTGGCATTTTTTTTTTTAAATTTCATCATATTATGGGGGTACAAATGTTGTTAAGGTTACATACATTGCCCTGGCCTCCCCTCCCCCGTTGAGCCAGGGCTTCAAGCGCATCCATCCCCCAGGTAGTGCCCATCGTATTCATTATGTGTGTATATACCTGTCCCCTCCCCCTCCCACCTGCCCTACCCCCGATAAATGTTTTTTTGGGTTTTTTTTTTTTGACATTCTGGTTACATTTTATATCTTTGCCTCTCCCTAGCAAGGGTTGGAGGTATGCCTTTCCCCTCCACGATGCTCGCCACATCCCTAAGATGTGGGTCTACCCCCCAACCCCCGAATCCCTGGTGAGGACTACCACCAGTTGAGCACCATAGTTTTAATCAGTCAGTACCAATTTGATGGCGAGTACACGTGGAGCCCATTTTCCTGATCTCACTATGACCGCCACCTTGGATCAGAACGAGGAAGGACTTCAATGATACCTCGGTTGTGGATACGATTTCACAGGCTAATCAGTGCATTTGTTCTCAGGGAGGCTCTGTTGGTGTCGATTACGATTTTCTTTTTACTGGTGGGAAACCTCGGGTACCTGCCCGGTTGAGTGATTTACCCACCTTAACTGGCCAGTAAATGAAAGAACTAGGGCGTACATTCTAGTCTGGCATCTGTTCTTATTGCAAAACGTGAACATACTGAACCCCCTGGTCTGCAGTCTGGTGGGCTTTCAAAGCCTGAGCCGCAGTATTCAAACAAAGATGATCTCTTCCCCCAAAGCCTTTGCTTAACCAGGGTAGGAACTTGCTGTCTTCAGGACAGCTTGTTTGTAGCATGTCACAAGAGAGAGAAAAAAAAAACAAAACAAACTCTCATTTATTTTTTTGAACAAAGTGCTCATTTGCCAAGATGTCCTCCTGCTAGAACTTCTCCAGAAAATTCCAGAACTTGCCTGGGAACCAAAGGCAGCCGGGCAGGCTAGAGAGGAGAGTTTTAATTCTGATCAACTCCTGGGAATTCTGTGGCAACCCCAACTTGCCTACCTTGTCTGAAACACCATCGTTCTCTTGTCTACACTGAGTGCCTGACCATGGTGCTGTGTCACACACAGGTGTCATAAGAAATAGCTTTTAAAATTGGCCAAGACGAGGCTTGCCTGACATGAAGGCTCCTTGAGTGCTTAGTCCAAAGACAGCCTACCCTCGAACACCAGCTGTCCCATCTTAGCTGTACACTTAATATTTCACATCACATTGCTGGGCTTATTTGCAGGGTTCTATGAACTGCGATTTGAAACTTAGTTACTCTTCCCATCAGCTGTTCCGTCTTGCTATTTCCCCGACAAAGAAAGTAAGATGGTGCTAAAATGCATCATGAAACGATGGTAATTACTACCAGTTTATTCTTTAAAGGCGCTAGATTTTTAGCATTTCCTAAAAATGGGTATTTAAGCGATCTATCTTGTTTACAAAGGCAGTACACTCATTGTTTTCGCTGCTAGGGGTAAGGCCAGTCTATACTACAAGACGCAAAAAGAAACAGCCTATTCTAGTCTAGAAATTGAGTCAAATTCTGTTGTCTGAGCACTCAAAGGGAAGAACTTCAAATGTTTCTGCCAAAATAGCTTATTTTCATTCAGGCCTCCAAAGTGAGTATAGGTTGTTTTTCTCCTTGGATACTATGTAGTTGTTTTTTGTTTTTTTTTAAACAAATGGCACTTTTAAAGAGATAAAGTCATTTCAATAATTTTTATTGATACATGTTTTTTTTTTCTTGAGGGGTGTTGGAGGAATTAAGCTCAATACTATTAGCCTTTAGTACCTTCGAAGGCGTACCAGCCTGTGAGATCTCTTCTATCTTTGTGTCCTGTGATTATCCGGGCTGTTCTTGCTCATGGGTCACTGGCCAGCTTGGCAGACAGAGCTTTGCAGATTTGCTCTGAAGTTTCATCTCTAACAGGTTCCAGTTTGTTCTCATCAGTTATTATAAAGATGTTGCCAAAGGAGTCAGGGAAGTTGGTGGCTCACTGTTATAAAATTTGTCTTTTATCAAAAGTCCCCAGAGAAGTCTCTAACTAAATGCATACAGAGGAATATAGTGCCCTGGATCTGCAAAATTTAAGGATGAATACAAAGAGGTAGATGCACAAGGGCGATTTGACTTGCTTCTGTTCTTCAAGGGTGTGCATGAGAAAGACAAGCTCTGGAGGAAGGTCGACTTGGTTTTGAATCTTGGTGCCACTAGGTAATAGTTTAATGCCTCTGAGAAAGAAGCAGAATTACCCCAGACCTCACATTTCCATACATATAAGATGGGGATTTAAATGCCTACCTGGCAGTACTGTGAGGATTTGCCATTTATGCAAAGCACCAAGCACAATGTAGGTACCAAACATTTGCCAAGTCTCCTTGTCCCTGATCATCTCCATTGCTGAGGAGTATGTCTTGTGCAGGAGACACACAAAGTTCTTAGCTTTCAGCCTTTGTTCCCTCGGACCTCAAGCCACATGGGACATATATCCACAATGGAGAGGACAATTGGCAAACTCGAAAGCACCAATCCTATTATATTTCACTGTGATGGTCTGGTACACAGGTCAGCAAGCCCAATCTGGCCCTCTGTTTGTTTTGGTAAATAAAGTTTTATTGGAACACAGCCATGCTCAATCACTTACATAGTGTCTACTATGGCTGCTTTTGCGCTATAACAACAGAATTAACCAGTTGTTACCCAGTCTCCAATATTTACTATCTGTCCCTTTACGGAAAAAAGTTTGCAATCCGTGGTCTAGGGTAATTATATCCAAGTTTACAGGAAAGTATTGACTGATCTTGGCTCCTTGACTGCAAGATTTGTATAATTCAAATATCCCACGTCAGGTATGAATATCCCTAACACAGGTGGAAGTTCCAACTTCTAAATATTTTGGAAAAAATAGAGAAACATATATAATTATAGGTGATGAATCTTATGGCTGTTCTGACAACGTTTTGGGAAATTTATTCTGTTTGTAGCAGAATAAACATAAGGTTCTCAGTGTCCTAGCCCAATTAGCCTAAGACTACCAGGAACAAACCACCAATAGCCTAGCACATTTGGGTGTATTGATCCAATGTAATGAGAAGGATGTGCCCTAGGGGATATCTCACCAAACAAAGAAAAAATAGAGTATTCTAGGACTCTGGGGAAGAGTGGAGTTTAGATGGAATTTGAATGAAGTGGTGTTTTGACTGTCTCAAAGCAAGCTAGGGTAGTATAAAGGGGTCAGTATCAGATCTGCAATGAGAAATGGACCCAGGGTCCTGTTTCCATGGAAACAATGCAGTTAAGATAGATAAGAAAACTCCTTATCTGAAGCTCCCATCTGAGTTATAAATCTAGACTGCTTCTCTGCAGCAAAGAGAGACTAGGTCTCCCAGGCACGAGTGGAGGTGTCATCCTTACTGATCTAATTCCAAGCAGCAGAGGTTTCTTGAGTCCACGATTTCAGAGAACAAAGTTCCTCAGCGAGTTAAAAAAGCAGCAGTCACTCAAAGAAGGAATTGTTACGACCCGTTAAGAGTTGCAGTATGTCCTGGGGAGAAATATTATTTCCTATCCACTTTGTAGCTGCTCCATCTGTTGTCTGTTATTGCAGCGTGATGAATGGCAGGGCAAGTTTTGACGTCCTCGGTCCGAGCTAATTTTGACTTTTTCCGTCAGGAAGGCAATGATGGCAGGGTGGGAACGTGGGGCGGCAGAAGGAGCTAGGTGGGACAAAATTAGTACAAAGCTAAATTCAAAGCAGATAAGGAGGCTGCAGGGAGCTTTTCTGCAGCCCAGTACAATGGGCCAAGCCCTGCTAAGCAGGACCCAACTTAGTAAATACGAATGAATGAATGCATAGTTGTCTGAATGGTTGTGAAGTCTCAAACATAAAGGAACAGCAATATTTTCATGATCCTAATAATAGACTCTCACATAGAATTTTATGATGCACATTTTGACATTTAACCAGAAGAAAAAAGAAAAAAAGGAATGCAAGGTTCTGACAGCAAACCATCAAATGCACTATGTTTTTTTTCCCCTTTAGACACATCTAGAATGATCGTAAGGCTATCCTTCATAGCGACAACTGTCAGTCAGACTCCAGAGCTCTGAGTAACAGCAGTCTCCCCGAGGGTTTTAGCCGACAGGTTTAGGACCCAAGAATGACTCGATTCCTGAAGTCACAAGGTTCATTTCCCGACCTGTTTCTGAAAGCCAGGATGTCCTAGAGACCGGAGCAGAAACGGGTCCACAGATGAACTTTGCGACTCCAGGAATCGGAAACACAGAAGGACTGAACGTGTCGCTCTGCGTCCTCTCACTTCCTCCTCACCCGGAAGGGCACGCAGGTCACCCGGAAGGACACGCAGGTCACCCGGAAGGACAGACAGGTCACCTGGAAGGACACGCAGGTCACCCGGAAGGACACACAGGTCACGTGGAAGGACACGCAGGTCACCCAGAAGGACACGCAGGTCACCCGGAAGGACACACAGGTCACCCGGAAGGGCACCCAGGAAGCGAAGGTCGCGGCAGCAGCGTCTTCTCCAACCTCCCAGACTTCATCCGTTCTCTGTGAGTAATATCGTTGGGGTTCTCCCTGTCCCTTGTGCTCTCAGGAGTCAGGATTAGCTGAGAGAAAGAAGCTTTCCTTCCACACGTTCCGAGTTCAGAGTCTTTCACTTCAAAGACATCAGTGCCTTCCATGTTCATCTGGCAGAGGAGTAAATTTGCCAGCACTGCTGCCTGTTCTTAGCAAAGTCTTCATTTTCCCTTACGTGTTCACCTTCATGCAATCTCTATTTTTCCAGATTTTCCTTCCTCGTGTTCCCCAAATCAGTGCTACTAGTGTCGAGTCCCTTGAGAGTGGAATACTCTTTTCAGCCTCCGTTCTCTTTCTCTCCTTCCCTGGGCACCCCCTGTCTCCCCATGCAGCCCCTGAGGTGGCGGGAACCTCTGCTGGCAGCATTTCCAGAGCCCTGGACCGTTACCTGGATTAACTCCTCCTCCCAGGCTCCTTGCAAAGGGGTGGAGGATAGGCAGGGAAGGGATTCTATTCCAGAAAGTCCTGACACACAGGGCATGAAGGGAGGTGGGCAGGGGACATTCTCAGCTGCAGTGCATCAGACAGACTTTCCACAGGGAGCTGCAAGGAAGAGAGGAAACAAGAAGGAGCTTCCCAGCACCCTGAGTCATCGCGTCTAATGGAGAGATGGGTGTCGGCACCTGGAGACTGGGGAATGCTACAGGATGGGATTAGCTTTGGTTAGAAGCAGCTGAGAGCAGAGAGGGAACCCCTGAGGTCCTAGAGTAAAGGATGGGACCATCTTGTGAGATGCAGTCCCACACGCTCAACTTCACTGGTCAGCTAAAATAATTGTTTATAGTATAAGACACATGTTAAGAGGGAAGAAAAATCCTAGCACATGGAAACTAATTAGCACCAAACCAGAGAGTAATCAAATCCAGGACCAATAGCCGCATGGGTTTGTTAGGGACCAATAATGCCAGACAAACTTTCTGGTTTGCTTCTTAAAAAGAAACGTGCACACACACACACACACACACACACACACACACACACAGCCAACTGCATGAATGGTTACGAGGAGCACAGCAGATGTTCTCTATTTGTACTTTATGAAAGCACTTGATAGAAACGTCCCATGAAATTTTACTTGCAAAGCAAGTTCAAATTGGCTGGAATAAGAAAACTCCAACGCATATTGAAACCTGGCTCCGAAGTCATAAACCAAACGTAATGGAACTGATAAATAAATGGCAGCAGATCTCGTTGCAGGAAGGTGTTTAGCAGGATCCCCCAAAGGTTACTGTGAGGACTGAATTCACTAAAAATCTTTATCGATGTGTAGGAAGAACTAGTCAACAGGATGCACGTGAGTTCTGCCAGGAATACTAAGTTGGCCAGTGTCAGAGAAAGCACGGAAGATCACGTCTCAGCGCACAGGGATAGACAAAGAGGTAGGAAGTGTGTGTAAGCAGGAGGAAGGAAAGAACAAAATGGAATCCGCCTGGGAAAATATCAATCTGCTGATCTGTAGATTAGGTTTTGGAATTGCAAAAGGAGACAGCAAAGGTATTAATACTGTGTTAGAGAAAGGCCCGGGAGAAAGAAGAAATGTCACATTAGGTATAACTTAGCAATGCCGTTCAGTGGCCAGCAATCAAGCATTCGGGTTTGTAGAACCTCAAGTTTATAGAATCCAGGGGGCCCTCCTTAGGAGAAAGGTAAACTGTTAATTTAAAATTAGGCTCAGGACCTTGAAAGAGACTGGAGTGAATGAGGGGCCTGGAAGTTTAAGCTCAGTGAGTTTCATGGTGAATCTGTCTAAGCTGGCTGAGCACATTGTGAACAAAAGGTTTTCTCTTTCTAGAGAAAGAGGAGGAGATATGGGGCAGGAGCAGGGCTGGATGGTTCACTAGTTGGGTGCAATGGTCTGAATGTTTTTGTCCCCCCCGCCAAAATTCATATGTTGCAATCCCAGCCCTCAAGGTGATGGTGTTAGGAGGTGGAGCCTTTGGAAGGCCATTAGCTCAGGAGGGTGGGGCCGTCATGAGTGGGATGAGTGCCCTTATAAAGGAGTTATGAGGGGCTTTGTTTTGGCCTTTCTGCCTGTGGGATTACAGTGAGAAGACTCAGTAAAGGCAGCAAGAGCCTCACCGTACACGTAATCTGCAGGCACCTTGATCTTGGACTTCCCAGCCTCCAGAACAGCAAGAAATGAGCTTCTGTTGTCTATAAGCTCTGTAGTTTATGCTATTTTGTTATAGAAGCATGAAGAGACTAAGACATTGGCTAACAACTGAAACCTAATGAACTTCAAATGCAAATGCCAAGAAATATACAGTTGTAAGTTGCGTGAAGGCGGGTACTGGGGTGGAAATTGGAAAGTCAAGACAGTGAATGAGGCTTGGTCTATGTCATCATAGGACAAGCCTTGGAGAGAGCCTCCTAGTCGGAAACTAATTGCTCTTCTCTTGGTACAGATCCTAAACTAACATGTACCTCTTTCAACGATAACAGTTTTCCAGCTCTATCATAAATCTTGGTGCATATTTTGTGTAGTATGTTCTTTGAGAGCAGGGGCTCCACATTGGATTGAAATAGTGGATTTCAATGTTTTTCTAAGACATCCGAATCTGGCTAAATTCTCACCAATTCTGCTTCCCCTCCCTGGTTACGTAAAAAGACTAAATTTCTCAGCCTCTCTTGTAGTCGGATTGTGGCTCGTTTCTGGCTAATGGAATATGGGTAGAAGTGATTTACACTGTGAAATCCCCCACAAAGGCCAAATGGGTTCCGGAATCACTGCTTGGAGGAGTGCTGCCACCCAGCAGAGCTACCTGACCCCCGTCAAAGAGTGACATGAGCAATAAACACATAAATAAACCTTTACTGAATTAGGCCACTGGTATTTTCAGATTGTTTGTTACGGCAGCTGTCATGACTATGAAATTGAATGAATGGCTGAAATCGGTTCTGCATCATTTAATCTACTTGGGTTTTTTATTTCATCATCTATTTCAAGAGAAAAATGAAATTACGTTCTCACTCTCAATTTATTTCTTGAGCATTTCTGTTCTGTGCTGCTACATTAGTGGTTTATGTAGCATCATCGGTGAGGCATTTTAGTATTTTACTTACGTATATATGTATGTATTTATTGCTTTAAAGGCATTTAGAGTGGAGTAGGAAAACTAAATGGATAAACAGATACGTAAAATAAATACATATCTGTATTTAGGGGTTTCCTATGGAAAAAAAAATCTATGCTCAGCACAGGATGATGCCTGGGTACTGAATAGTATTTTCATTCGTATGTGCAGGTAAGGTCTCCGGGTGCAAAAAACAAAGGTAGGTGTTCTGAAACATCACACAGAAGAAGGTAGTTTTGAAATAAGTCCCAAATGTTTAGTGGGATTCAGGTTGGAGGTGGGGAGATATTTCAGATGGAAGGGGCAGGTAGAATAAAGCATTAGAGGTGGAAAAGGAGAGCTTTGTGCAGGCACATGGAGGCAGAGTGATCCTAATCTGGAACAGAAGGAGGGAGAAAAGGAGCGTGTTAGCAGGTAGATTAAGAATCTAGAATTATATTAGACAATCGAGATGAAGATATGTATGCATGTGTGTGTGTGTGTGTGTGTGTGTGTGTGTGTGGCATGTGTTAAACACACATGCTAGGTGTTTTAAAGGCAAAAAGCAAACACAAAAACCTTTGAGACTAGCCGGTGCTCCAAGGGGTCCGCTCGCAAGACAGTGCGCGTGGGCCACCAGGAGGGGGCAGTGCTGAGGCTCGGCGGCTCTGCTCCAAGCCTTGTGCTGAATTGAAATTCCGAGAGATCTTTGTGAGGGGTGAGGGGGAGGGGACACAGGTAGGGAAATGGGGGGTAGGTGGGGAGACAGAGCCACAGCTGACATTGATAGCAGGCACTTGGATTGAAAAGTGCGTGCTTGAGAGCTAATTTCCTCGAATATCTCCTCCAAAAACGACTTCTGCTGAGGCCAGTAGCAGTAATCCCCGTACGACTATTTAGGCTAAACCCGTTGGGATGGCTATTCTTGCAGATCAAAGATGGCCAACTTTGGCAATTTCAGATGGTTCAAACTAACTGATAAAAAATAGGCTTTGATATAACAGTGAACGTGGGACTCCACATGTGATCAGAAGAAAACGTTTTCTTTTTCCTTTGAGCAGGGGCAAAATTTGGCCAAGGACATGGAAATAGAACAGATGACCTTCTTCTGTCTGAGGTGGGAACCGCATTAAAGATAAGAAGGGAGGCAGAGGCTGCAGAGCTGACAGCAACAGGGTCTCTACAGCTCTGGGCACAACTGTGGGGCCTTCATCCTGGGTGACAGAGCCAGCTGCCTCTCTGTGGCCCGCAGTCTGCTCTCAAACCAGGACAGTAGCCCGGGAGTACTTGGGGAACAGGCACGCCCGTTAACGTAACCTCGCTCCCAGTCAAAAGAGCCTCAGCCCTGCTGTCTTTGGCTGCCGGTTTCTAACTATGCCGGGGCTCCCGTCTGCAAGTCCCCGAGCTTAGAATCGCACGTCTAAGCTCTAGGCTGCGTGATGTACCAGCTGGAGGGTGACGGGTTAAAAGAATTTTAAAGCAGTGTTAAAGCATGAGTGAAAATTTGGGATCACTCTGGGTTGATATATATATATACTTTTTTATTTAAATGTTTAAATTGGGAAACACACATAACCACCCTGACCGTCTTTAAGCGTACAGGTTCCATGGCATTAAGTGTATTCAGGTTGTTGTGCAACCATCACCACCATCCATGTGTACAGCTTCTGCATCCCTGCACACTGAAACTCTGTCCTCGTTAAACAAGAACTCCCCGTCCCCTCTCCTGGCAGCCCCTGGGAGCCACCGCTCTGCTTCCTGTCTCCGTGAATTCGACCTGAGACAGATGCCCCTTTATCTCCAGAAAGGGGCACGCACATCTTGTACCAAGCTTGATAATAATCAAAGTCCACTGTTCGAGTCTGGTTCCCATGAGAAGGAGAAATCTGTACACACGGGCATCACCAGAGACCAGCGCG